GCAAGGGACATAGCAATCCAGGCCCCCCCCCCCCCCTGCCATAACAAAAGATGCAGAACTTGCAGACATATCTCCACTACTACAATGATCAATACCTCCCACAACAAATCTTTCATCATCCAGCGGTCCTACATATGCCTATCCAACATATGGTGTATCTCATCCAGCCCACTAACTGTCCCAATAGCAACTATGTGGGTGAAACAAGACAAACACAATGCTCTCATATACTCTTACACAGTAAAAATGAAAAAAAGACAAAAACACCGTATCATAAAACAATCACTCCATATCTGACCTATCAATCCTCAGCATCAAAGGAAATCTGCACAACACCTTCAAAAGTTGAGCCTGGGAACTTAAATTCCTAACTCTGCGAGGCAACAAAAATCATGGACTGAACAGAGATACTGGATTTACAACTCATTACAACAATCTGTTACCCTTATTTGTCCTATGACAGTAGAGGTGTTAACTGTCCACTTCACTTTGAATGGTCTCTTGTGGCATGTGTTAATTTCTTATCTGTTCCACCTTGAATTTAGCTGTGACACTCTGAGCACTTTTCCCAGACATGAAAAAGAGCTCTATGTAACCTTGAAAGCTTGTCTCTTTCACTCACAGAATTTGGTCCAATAAAAGATATTACCTCACCCACCTTGTCTCTCTAATATCCTGGGATCAACACAGCTACAACAACATTAAAATGGAAACGCTTTTTAAATGGGTGTTTCTATTAAAATGATCATTAGTGAAGGAGTCAATGTTGCCATTTAGGCTTCATCAATATTGGGATGAATATTATGCTTCACACTGTTCTAGGAATTTCAGCCTCTCTCTGTATAGATTTGGTAAGATAGCATTGCCTTGATTCACCATTTAGAAGGTTATCTTCATAAATATCCACAGAGCTTACATTGTTTTTTTTAATTAAATTTTAAATTATGAAATATCTTAACCTGCCATAAGGGTCTTGTAAATACAACAGGCAGACCAGATCCAGCCCATTGGCTCTAGTGTTCAACATCTTAGAACTATCTAGTTTCTAGCAATTTGACCATGGTGCGGAATCTCTGTGAAGCATCTCTTCCCTAGCAAGAGTGTATATATACCCAAAGATCCTTCTCTTTATAACCTGCTTGTCAGTTGAAGCACAAGTGTCAAAAGTCTCCATTAGCAGCTGGAGTTAAGTAATTGCCTTGTCAATACACAGGTAGTCTTCAGTTTTTCTTTCACAAATGCATTCACTTTTCATTTAAACACAAACAATTGCATCTCTTCCTGATCCAGATGTAACACAATCTTAGGCAATCGATAATCACAGGTTTCAGTTAATCTTTTTCAATTTGGAAAGTTTTTGAGGAAGTGTTACTGTTCTATGTTTGAAGCACGGCACACACAGTCAATAAATATTCTTTTGGCTTCTTTAACAATCCTAAAATAATACCTTTGAGGCACGTCTAAACATTTTACAAGCCCTAAATGGACACATACCCATAATTAGAAACCAAAAGGACCACAGGTAAAAGTAATACATTACTGGACAATTTCTTACTTATGTAAATTTGATCTTATTACAAGGACTCAAGATTTTCACTGACATCTTTAACATAAGGCACTAAGGAACAGATTTTATGAGTGAAATGAAAATTAAAAACAAGGAAAAAACAATAGCTCATTTTAAAATGGGCTGAAGTTATCCAGACAATTTAAACAAACTAGACAAAAGTCAGTTTCCCAGATCAAACAGATTAAAAAGTGAGTTGTTACTTCAGCCATGCCTACAGTTTTATGTAGGCTTTTTTGGGGGGGGGGGGATTCAGTTTTCCTCCTTGATTGCTTCGAGCACCTTCCACACTCCATTTGCAATTTCTCTCCTCTGCCAAATATCTCTGTGATATTTCCCAGTTCTCCCTGGTTTCTCTGAATCCACCCTGCGCTCACTGGTACCTCTTTCTTTAAATGGACATCAGCTAAAGATGAGCCCACTGGATTTTGTTCAATGACTTCATTTTAACTGGCTTGCACTGTAATATAGTCTTAAATTAATGGCAAGCTGTGATAGAGTATATAAACTCAACACCGAGATAGAAAGGCCCATAAATTTGGGGATGGCGGTTCCACCTGCAGATTGACCATGCTGCACTAAAGTGGCTTCACACAGTCAAAAAGACTAATAAAAAACTTCTTTGGTGGAGTTTAGCTCTTCAAGACTTTGATTTTGAGATACAACACATTTCAGGAGCCTCTAACAAAGTGGCTGATGCACTCTCCCGGGAAGGTTTCCCAGAATCAGCCAGGTAAAAATGTCTCTGCATTCTAAGTCAATGTAGTCCTTGAAATGTAAAAAGTACTGTTTAGTTCTTCATGTAATTATTAGTAAAATTAGAGGAGCATGAATCTTATTAACTCTGTTTCCTAAACCTACAGGAAGAAATCCCAGCCAGTGTGGACCCGACCTGAACCAGGCTGGCCAGCACCATCTGTGATTTGGGAGGCATGTGATAAATGAAGGGGGAGGGTAGCCCCTGTTTATGAACACCCAGGCAGCCAGTTAGCTGTAAAATTCCTCCTGGTGTCTGTTCACTGCTTGCTTTATCTGTAAAGGGTTAACAAGCCCACAGGTAAAAGAAAAGGTGTGGGCACCTGACCAAAAGAGCCAATGGAAAGGTTAAGGAGAAGTTCTGGGCCCAAGCGGCCCTGCCCCACTGCACCTGCAGAGTCTGTTCCAGCTGGAAGAGGAGTTTAAAAGAGAGACAGACAGCTCAGAAAGAAGGAATAGCAGATAGGGGCTCTTGGGATAGGTCCATGCCCCTATCCTAAGTATGGGCACCGCGGCAATCCTTGCTGCAGGAAAGGGGTCTGCAAGTGACAGCTACCCTAGGCCTCACAGCAGCAACTAACTTCTCCTTAATGATTAAAGAACCCTTTGTTCTATCTTTTCTTGGATTGTTTGTGAGACTGTAACAATGCCCTAGACAAGGAATGTAAGTGGTAGGAAGCAGCCAAGGTGGCAGTCTCAGAGCATTCCTGGGTGCTTGATATCATAGCCACTTCTAGGACCCTGCGTCAGAACCCAGTAGAGGGAGAGCCCAGGGGGATATAGACAATGTAAGTCCTGAAGTAAAGGTATGAGGTCCTCAAGGGCCTGGAATTGGGCATGCAACTCCTTTTTGGGGAATATTGTACTTCTCTGCTTTGTTGGACTCTGTTACTCCAGAAAGGGATGGATTTCAGTGGTGACCTGGCTGGAAGGCCAAGTTTCTATCTACTAAAAAAGAGATTGCCATCACACCATAGTGACCAGCAGTACGAGATGCTAGAGACCAGTAAGAGTTGTGACCTAGGAACTAACTCTTAGGGGGTACCACTGATAAGCCCAGCCCTGTCACACAAGTATAATTCAGAAACATAACCAAAAGGTCCCTACATTTCAGTTCCTATAAATAAATGAGTGAGTGTATACCTAAATATCATAAAATCACTACATCAGACTGTTGGTGAAAAATTAAGAGAGGACCTTCTACAGACCGAACAGCCAGTTCATTCTTACAAACTATACATCACTTTAATATTATTGTAAAATATGCAGACAAGCACTTCAGACAGTAATGCAAAATTCACAGTATTGAGAACATGTCTAAGTCTTACTCCATTGACAAGAAGTTGCAGTTACTGAGTAAAAGTAATAAATAATATACTTACCATAAAAATAGAGCCTTAAAATACCTTTAGATTTGTTTGAAAATGCAATTAATATATATTGTACATCAGGATTTCTGCAGGATCTTTTGAGCCAAAGACTTAGTGCACTAAGAATTAGCTAAATATCTGAATGATAAAATCTGGCTTTGATTCCAAACAACTCCTGTTTAGGGAATGTTTGTGTGTTGCTAGGCAACACAATTTGGGATCAATAAATGTTGCCAAGTTATTTTTGCATATAATAATTTACTTGTAAGATTTTGCTGCTTGTAAATTGTGAAGTTTGTGGTTATTAACATTTAAATAGCTATATTAAAAATGCTGATTTTTATAATAAAAAGCAAAAGCTACATCTTAAAACTGAAGGGAAGAACTGCCTCCCATGATAATAAATGTTCAGTAATTTGAAAAGTTTTTCCCCCTTGGGAAAACATACAACATAGTGAAATAACATTTTATGCTGGTCTGCTCACCTACCTTCTCTGATGAGTTGGCTGTGGAAAGACTGTATTGATGCAAAGCTCAATTAGTGTAATTTATGTATCCTTGAATGTCAATCATCACTGTTGAGAGGTGGGACTTTCAGGCTCTCTGTGCATTAATTAAGAGTTCATCTCAGCAGAGTAATCTTTCTACCTAAGGACCAAAAAGTAAGTTTTAATTAGATTCTAAAGGACAGCACGTCATATACAAAGTAAATGTAGTTCTTTAGCTAGTATGTAAAAAAGGATAGTAAGAGGACATTGTTGTTAATAATGTAAAAGGCACCAATCCCTTGTTCGCATTTAACTTCATAGATACAGAAGTATTTTCAATGTACACATTGAATTCTGCCTAAAAGACTGCGTCCAATTCTTGTAACAGTTTGTGAAGACAACTGAAGTTTGACTAGATTGTTTGGATGCCAACATTACTATTTGACCCCTGTCTAATTATTGATGCTGAGCTGATGTTGATCAAGTGCATCTACAGTACTGAAGTTAGACCATATTTCTCTCTGATGGCCAGCTTTTTGTTCCAGGCTACCTTGTGACTGAATATACAATGGGCAAAACAATGCAAGCTCAGCAAAAGTGAGCGAATGGACTTGCACGCTGCATCACTTTCATAGCCTGAGTGATGGAGTATGTATGCAGTTGTTGGCTGGACCTTAAAATTCGGAGAGGTTAAAAAACTATCTGGGTTCACTGGTGTCAGCTGCTTGAGAGATGCCTCTCTCATGGAATGGCTTGTGTGAGGACTATCAAATATGCTGCTTAGGACTCACTTGGGAAATAGTATATAAATAATATATTACATCATTTATAAATGAAGGGAGGGAAAACAAATTTAAAAAGCTGGTCTGGAAAATAAACATGTCAGCTAATAGCTTGTGCATAGGAAAAGGGGGAAAAATTAAGAGAAAAATAAGTTTACACTTGAGAGAACAAGAACAAACTAGTTTGTCAAAGACTGAAATAAGGAATATAATGAAAGAGTAAAAAACAAAAACAAAGAAAACAAAAAGAAAGGCTGGTGTAGGAAGGCTTGGAAAGAACAAATAAAATGCCAAACTCCAAAATGAAATTTAGAACAGAGGAAAAACCCAGAAAATAGGATTTTAGTGTTCTGAAAGGTTACAGGCAGCTGCGAACAGAAGCTAAAATAAACTATGTACGCATTACATGACATAATTAATAATAATTATAAAGGAGGATCTTGCATAGAGAAATAGTACAATAGAAAGATGCGTCAGAATGTGGGGAAAGATTTACTAGCTGTCCCAAGAAAAACAAATGTGAGTTCTGGTGTTCTTCATTGCTGTTATATTTCATGGGCTTTTACAAAAGGAATATGTTTGGGAAACACAGCCATCGTATATGCTATAAATTTACCACCTAACTAGTGTACCTGACAGGTACTGAATAACAGTAGCAAAGCTGACAAAACAAACTGTCGATATTACAGGTACCATGTGTAAACTGTTTTCCTCTAAACAATAATGTATGATGAAACCATTACTACTGTATAAGAGCAGTTGTTCTGTGAAATAAAATAGGAAAAAATTTTAGCCAATAATTTATGTTAATGTTGGTCATAAAAATACTTTATAATCCTCTCCCAGTTCTCTCTCACGTATATTCCCAGCCATTTATGTGGTGTTTATTATACAATAGGAATAAGAAGCACTCCCCAGGTATAGGATGGCAGTGTGACTCATTTAGATTTAAGAACCCCATAAGTAGATGGACTAAAAAAAAAATCATACCCTTACATACCATATGAATACACTGCAATACCCCTTGAGAATATAAGTATTAGAAACTTGCTATATTGTTAGAAATTCAACCTTCATCCTATGAATTAAAAGTATTATGAAAGTCACATAGTACAAATGACTGGTTATATGTCATACCACTCTAAGTATATGCATTTTTTGAGATCTGAAATCTTGTTAGTTTTCCACACAGTTTTCTAAATTATCCCTCTGGTTTAGAGACTTTGGACAGGGACATGTTTAATATTCACTAACACTTTGGGCATATATTTTTATATGGAAAGGCCAAAGAGATATGCCTATGGTTTGTTATTTTTACTCTCTTAATTGAAGCAAAATATTGAGTCTTGTTATTTGCGGCCTCCTACTAGTCATATTTAGCACATTCCTTGTGTGTCCCTTGATTAAAGTGATGGCGGAGATAGCCAACACACTATACTTCAGAATAAACGGTCATTCTTTGTTCTTCTGAACAAAGATGAATGTTATAACTGTTTAATTTGCTGTCATTCACAAGGGACAATGTCAAGAACTGAACCACAGGACTTTTAGGTAAGTACAAATTGAATGTTAGCAGCATGGTGCCTGCTCAGTCCCTCTGCCTCCTCACTCCCTTCCTTCATGTTTCCTTAGTTTGTTCTCATCTGAACCCACACTGGTGGTATGCTGCTTTGGAAGCCAGCTATAAAACAAGGCTGACTCGAACAATAAAATCTGGATGATCTACTGAACTGTGACTGAGATTTGTGACCTGCCTTCAGGTGAATCAAATTCAGCCACAAAAACTTCTGACATGCAGCTATCACAAGAGCTTCACAGAATGTCAACACAGTTGTACTATATATTCTAAATGAAACGTGCTGAGAACCACTGGATATCATGTTCTATCATAAAATAATTATCAAAGATGGATGAACTTATCTAGCTATACCCAGGCACATGAAAAACAAAAATATCTACTTTCCTGATTTGTTTCTTTATTTAAAAAACGGTGTGTGATACAGCAAATGTACTAATTGTTATAGCTAATCAAAAACAACAGGAAGACCCAAATTTTCAAAAGTGGCTACTAATTCTTTTTTGGACACCTACTGTTTGATTTTTCCAAAGTGCTGAGTAGTTGAAGTCAATAACAATTGCTTAGCTTCACAGAAAATGAGACTGTCATAAGTTGGCTGGCTCCTTTAAATTAAACAGGTTCAGCTCCCCTGTGCTAGAACGGGTGCTCCCAGTTTGGCCATTTAAGAGGGTGGGGCTATGAAGAGCCAAACTGTCAATAAGGAAGGGAGAGCAGGAAATTTCCTAGGAGATGTTGCCAGAGTCCTGGGGGGGGAGGGAATCTGGGGGGTGGTGTGTGTGTGAAAGCCTTGTGAGGTGCTGCTCAGCCAAAAGAGCAAGGAAGAATCCTGAAACAGAGGGACTAAGAGAGGCAAAAGGGGAAATCACCTGGGAGCTGTAGCCCAGTGTGGGCTGAGGAACTGTTTTTTGTTTGTTTGTTTGCCTATGTTTAGAAAATAAAATTGTGCCTAGAAAGAGACATTGGGTGTAGCAGGGTCCTCTGTGGGCTGGGGAATAGCCAGCAACTTACACTACCCCTGAAAGACTAAAGATGGAAACCCAGAGTTAGTGGACACTTTAGAGAATGTGGTTCTATCTCAAGGAGAAAAAATAAGTTTAAAATACAATTTTAAAAAACAAAACAGTTGTAGTTAACGACCTTATTCCCTAAACTGAATCTAAGAATGACTGTGTGTCTGCTTGTAAAGAAATTGAAAAGTTCATGGCTAAATTAGTCACAATACACCTTAGAGAAGAGAAAACTTACCATATAAAATCATCTAAGTTTGTGAACTGTTATGACAAAAATAATATACCGTAGTATCAATCCTCTGTTGAAAGTCAGCAGATGCTGGGGCCTTACAGGTCTGCTTTCCGTTGGAGGAGAAATTAGTAACATGGAGTTTGGGTATATTTTTAGTGCAACTTGTTTGTTTTACACAACATACACAATTCCTTGAACAGAGGTGGTCAAAACACAGGCAACTCCTTCTTTCAGGGAGCACAGCCAAAATGTTGATGTCTGGTTCATGTGTTTTTCTTATTAAGGCATGGAGAGTTTATATGTAACTACTAAATTATTTGTATTTATACATTACATAACGCATCATTGAGAACCTATCGTAAACTTCACCTAGCCACACTCTGTACTGCCACCTCCAGTCCAAGACCCACCTTCCAAAATAGAAGATGACCTCTGGCCTCTGCAGCAATACCCTACATCCTTATAGAACAATTATAGCTATGTCACAAAAATCCCAGGAAGCAACTCTGCCTCCAGAATTGATTCTAGAGAGATTAAGGGCGAAGGTAAACTCCCTTTGTGATAACCACAGCTCCCCCCAGTAAAAGCTGTATTATAAAATCATAATAAGTTTCTTCAAAGAGTGAACAGTGCTTGTGCACTACAGCTATGTCTATATTATGACGTAGGGGTGTGCTAGAGCTGAGCACAGCCTAGCCATCTAAAGTACAAACCCACCTGAACCCCATCAGTATGTATTTGTGGAAGCTAGCCCATGCTACCTCGGCTATATTTCTATTTTTAGCATGCTACTTCAGATGAGAGTGAGAGCAAGTTTGTGTATGGGAGCTGGGAATCACTCATAGTGTAGACATAGCCTAAGAAACACCTTGTAACACTATGTGTAGTGGCACCATCTGGTGACTCCTGCCATAACAATAGTATACATGTGTATCTAAGCTTATAGATAAATATTGCATTGCATATGGAGAGGTATTCTGAAACTTTCATAAAAGTTCACAAACTGTCTTGTGGGTAAAAACAACGAGGAGTCCTTGTGGCACCTTAGAGATTAACACATTTATCTGGGCATAAGCATTCGTGGGCTAGAACTCACTTCATCAGATGCATTAAGTGAAAAATACAGGAGAATAAATGGATTCTAGCCCACGAAAGCTTATGCCCAAATAAATGTGTTAGTCTCTAAGGTGCCATAAGGACTCCTCATTGTTTTTGCTGATACAGACTAACACGGCTACCACTCTGAAACCTGTCTTGTGGGTATCTTTTCTTCCATTTGTAGTGGTCTAGGTCACCATCTTTCCCATTTCCAAATGCAAAAATTCCTAGCATCAAAAACAACAGATGTTTCCAGGATAAGAAATATTTTGAAACTATTTACATAATTTTAGCTATCTTTATTGAGGTAAGTATTCTATCCTTTTTGAAAAAACATTAATCACACTGTCTACTTTTGTTCTTCATTTTATCTCTCTTTGCGATTTAGTCTGGATCTGATTTAACTCCCTCTAGCGTCCTATGTTACCAGCCCTTGTGGACTTTTAGGAAGGGATCCCT